AGGGACCCCAAAGGACTATCCAGTCCAACTGCTGGCCCTGCACAGACACCCCAACAACCACACCCTGTCCTGGGAGCGTTGTCCAAATGCTCCTGGAGCTCTGGCAGCCTTGGGGCTGTGTCCATTCCCTGAGGATCCTGTGTAGTGCCTAAATACCCTCTGGGGGAAGAACTTCTTGATACCCATCCTAAACCTCCCCTGACTCAGCCTCAGCCATTTCCCAGAGCCACTGGTAACAAGAGCAAAGAGATCAGAAAACCTCAGCAGGGCCCAGGAGGGTTAAGCCAGGCCTGGACCAGCACCCCCAGATTGGCAGGTTCCAGCCAACAGGGACACAGCAGCCAGCCCCCAGCAGCACCATGATCCAGGACATGTCCTGCAGGACCATTCTGTGCTGTCCTTTACCCTCTCTGATCAACCAGACCCCACACAGCTCTCCAGAGGGGTTTGTCAGGATATCAAGCCCAAAAACCCCATGGAACTCGGAGAAGAAGCACTGCAGCCTCCACCTGAGCTTTCTCCTGCTCCTGCCCTGGGTGTGAGCTCCAGGGAACTTGTTGGGAACCAGCAGAGAAAGGGCAGCTCTGCACACACAGCCCTGGCCCCACAGCCCATTTATCCCTGTCAGGCCCTGCTCCATGGCACTGCTGTGCCTTCTGCTCCCCTTGGTGACCGCTCTGCACCGTTTTTTCAGGAATCCTACCTGACAAGCATCCTCCAAAGCTGTGTCCATCCCACCAACACAATCCATGGGATTCTTTCCACAAGCACTTCCTTTCATCTACTGCCCTGCAGATTTACTTGGAAACAGTGGCACTGCAGTGTCTCCACTTCAGGAGGAGATCCTGGAAAGCAATCTTCCTCACGCCGGGATGCTGGCATGGAAGCAGGCTGAGGTTATTGCTTTCCTCACTAAAGGGTTCCTTTCTCAAGCTACTTCTTTTCTCCAAGCTGCCTGACTTTGGCAGAGCACCATTTTCAATATTGCACTGCATTAGAGTCCAAATATAGGCAAGTTCTTTTATTTTACATTATATTCCCTGGTGGACTTCAAAGAACTTTACTATGAAATAATAGTAATGTTTAGAGCTTTATCATCACATCACACACTAGTGATATATATTTAAGTTGAAATTATTCAGTTTTTCCACCTTGGCAAACTTCACAGTGTAGCCCCCCCCCCAGCTATCCTGTCATTCCAGCCCAATTAAATGACATTAAACATGTCCAAGCCTCTCACATGCCACACTCCTGGCAAGGACAGCAGTGACTCTGCTTGTAAACAGACAGAAAAAAAATAAAATAAAACCCACAAAAACTGTAACTTCCTCTGCGGCACCTGACCAAATGAAACTTTACACCAAATGTAGAATTTCAGGAATTTTAAAGCACTTGATCATAAAGGATGTAAAACTGCAATCACCACCCCCACAGAAGCATCCTTCAGCTAATACCAGTATTTTGTTGTTATTTACAAAGAATCATTGACAACTCCTCTCATTTATTCATTTCACTGCTGTTCCATTTATAAATGTGCAGATTCATTGACTTTCAATATGTCCTTGATTACAATGAAAAAGAAACAAGAAAAGCCCTGCAAAGCCACTTCATTATTCAACTGTTTGGGGCTGGGGCAAACCCAGAATTTCTTTGAGCTCAGCTTTAGGGAGCTGATTTCAAGACACAGCACGGGGTTTGCTGATTTTTAAAAGCAGGAACCTGGATCAAAGACAGCATCTTAGCAGCAAAATAACTGCATTTGCTGCTCGTTTAAGTCCCTGGATCCGGAGGAGTGTGTCAAAGTGCAGGCTGGGTGATGGGTGTCACAGCTCCACCTCTGCCCGCCCGGTGTGAGACTCTCCAGCTGTGCCAGGGAGGGATTTCCCCTGGCAGAGCAGTGCCCATCACAGGGATACCCACCCAAGGTGAGAGCACACCCAGGAAACACCTCGGACGAGCAATTCCTGACAGCTGCTGCTGGAGAGACAACATTTCACACAACAGCATCGAGTTTGCAGTTGAGGATGACTGAGGGGTTTTTTGGTTTTTTGTTTCCGGGCACGGGGAGGAAAGGTTTACACTTTTTCTTTTGTCTGAGTTAACTTTCTACATGTTTCTGGCTTGCAAGACAATCGCTGTGTGTAAAGCAGCTGCATTTAGTTAGAGATTTTTTAAAAGAGTTTTCAACTCGGAGGTGCTCTTTGGAGTCCCAGCAGACTGCTGGATTTCTACATCTGTTTCTAAAGAGCAGGATCCAGTGTCACACCTCAGGGAAACTCTTTTTTTTCCCCCCTCTCTTTGCCTACTTAAATCCATACACAAGCTTTAAAATACTCCCCTGCCTAACTCTCATTTGCAGCACTTTAAATCCCTGCGAGGACGTAATTAACACAGCAGTTTCAGTAGAAGTTAATTATGGAAACAAAGAAACGATGTCCTGAAGATAATTTGCTGCTACTTCAAGCCACTTTTGTCAAGAAATAGAAGGCTACAACCTCAAACAGTGACATCTACCCTCATCCTCTTAGAGGCTTAAGGCAACAAAAGCATTTTGTTTGTTTTTAAACTCATTCCTGGATGTAGCAGAAGCAGCAGCCTGTGACCAGGGATGAAACAATTAACCACAGGGACTCATCAAGAGCTGTGGAACTTTATCTCACAACTTTCAAGGAAATCAGCAGCACCCCCACAATCTAAAACACAATCTAGAGATCTGTGGGTTTACTCCAAGCTTCTAAAATGTTTTTCTATTACTCACACTTCTTTCATTGTGACTCCTCACAAAGTTCCATGATCTGGAAGAACAATAACCGAGCTGAACCGGGACTATCCAGAGCCACACGCTGCAGAAAATATCCAAGCTGGAGAGGTGCTGCTCCTTAAATTGACATTAACTTTGTGCTTTTATTTGGAACGCTCGGGCCAGCCCATGAGCACCCTAAAGGCAGTGAATGGACCAAGCTTTTGGGGTTGTTTTGCTCCCTACAAGGAAAGGTCATGGACAAAAAGGCAGCAGCAGGAGACAGTGGTCCACATTTTTCTTCTGAACATGTCAGGGCTAAAGTGTAGGGACTGAAGACTCATCTGGGCTGGGTTTCTGATAGAGCAAATTCTATTTACCCAACCACTACAGTCACCTTAAAGAAACTTGCAAAACTTTTTAGAACAGGCTTTTTCTTTGTTTGGTTTTTCTAATTGGTGTTGGAAGTTCAGGTTCCCTTATTCTTCCACAAAACCCAGTATGTGGTTGAACATGTGATAGATGTCTATCTATAGAAAATAAATAAATCACTTGATCTGCCCATGAATCCACGCTGTAAGCATTTGCCAAAGATATTATTCAAAATACAGGAAATACTTCACTGTGGAAAGTAACTGTACATAATCACAGACCACAGTCCAGGCTGGAGGGGAACTGGAAGGATCACCTGGTCCAGCCTTTTGTGGGAAAGGGAGCCTGGCTGAGATTACCCAGTCTCATCTTGGAAACCTCCAGCCACGAGGATTCCACCACATCCCTGGGGTGATAATTCCAGTGAATTACTGTTCTCACTATAAAAAAAAAAGCTTTGTTATATTGAGCTGAAACCCCTCTTGGTGTAACTTGTACTACATGATCTGTACTGTAATGACTACTTTAATAAATAATGACTAATAATGACAATATTAATATATTCACATAAAGGTGAATTCATGCTCAGATAGGTACTTCCCAGCAGAATGCACAGAAAATAAGGAATGGTACGTTTCAGACCCAATGTGATCAGTTGCTTTATGTTAATGGGGCTTTATTTTTCCCTTCCAGGCTCTTTGAAATATGAAAAAAAAAAAAAAACCCACAACCACAACCTCACTTGCATTGCCCTAAAGCTTTGAAACTATCTGCAAAACCAGAGGGGAAATAGCTTTTTTTGCCCCTTTAAAAAAATACAGCCATTTGTTAAGCATAGAGAGCACTCCCTGGAGACACTAGAAAACAACTTTTGAAAATTTTCCCATTGAGATGTCATGAAGAATTCCGACCCCAAGCTAGAACTCATCCAGCCATTGAATGTGCTCCACGAGGCTCCAGGGACATGGGGAAGTCATTCCAACAGATCCACTCCCTCACACACACCCCGGGAACAGGGAACAGCATCCTTAGGGACAGCGGCAGAAACCCAGGCTCAGGGATACGACAAGAGAGTTTTATCTGTTAGCTACAAGCACGTTTTGAAAGGCAGTTATCCCACAGTATCGACAATCTGGGTTAAATATTGGCTTTTTCCATCAACTTTTTCTCTTTAGCGTTCACTTTTTCCACTTCTTTTAATATTAAATACAGGCGTGTTATCAAGCAGCGCTTCTCAGAGGTGCGTTGTGACTGAAGCGCCCAGCACAAACCGCTTTGGAGGAGCCGGAGCTCACGCACATCCAGCTCTCAGCGAAATCCTCATGCAGGCGTCCAAAAACACTGCTCACTTTTTACTGACTTGGCCTGAAGGAATCAGTCTTTTTCCAATTCCAGCTATCCCAACTCCAAGGTCCCTTTATGCCTGGGCTACGCTATGTTTTACACATAAACCCCTCGCAAAAAGGCTGGAGTCAGAGCCCTGATAGAAGGATCGTGGGACAGATATCACTCGCTAAAAACGGAGACGCTTTCTTTTGGTTGCAAATAAACAAACAGATAAATAAATAAACATTTTTGAGGGATACAAGGGGGGTGGGATGGCGAAACCCGCACTGAGAGCCGGATCCAAGGGCCAGGTCCCCAGTGCGATAGCACACCTCGGGCACCATCAATCACGGACCGCAAAGCGGGACCGCCTGGCAATGCTTACGCTGGGACCGCTCACCGGCCCCAACACTTGGAAAGAGCTTTTTTACCAAGCAATTCAACACAGACCGGGCGTAAAACCCCCAGCTGATTAACGGGAGGCGGCGCGGGGGCAGCCGGGCTCCCCTCGGTGCCGGCCCGGCTGCCCTCATCCCGGCCGGGACCGCCGTGTCCCCCTTACCTTGCGTGGCGTCCCCGGGCTCGGCGCGGCTCCCCGCTCGCAGCAGCAGCAGCAGCGGGAGCAGCAGCGGGAGGCTCCCGTCCGCGCCGCCCGGCTGCTGCATTCCTGAGCCGGCGCTGCTCCCGCATCCACCGCGGGGCCGCCGCTCCTCCGTCCCGCGCTGTGCCGGCGGGCGGGCGGGCGGGGAAGGCGGCGCGGGCGGGGAGGGAGCG